TGTCCCGTCGCCGGTGGGCGCGGGCGCCGGCGCGGCCGCTGTGGGAAGCAGTTTGGCGGTTTCTCACAAAACTGAATGTCACCTCTCTGTGAGATTGGGCAGCTGTGCTCCTTGGAATTTACACAGAGGAGCTGAAAACTTACAGCCGCAGGAAAACCTGCACGCAGATGTTTATGGCAGCTTTATTCGGAATTGCCAAATCTGGAAGCAACCAAGATGGCCTTCAGTAGGTGAGCAGAAAAGTAAACTGTGGTGCATCCAGACAATGGAATATTAGTCAGCACTAAAGAGGAACGAGCTAGCGTGCCGTGAAAAGGCATGGAGAAGATGTAACTGCACGTGACTTGGGGAAGAAGCCGGTCTGAAAGGCTACCTGTTGTATGATTCCGACCGTATGACGTTCTGAGACAGGCAAAATCATGCAGACAGTGAAAGGATCGGTGGTTTGAGGGTTGGGGGAGGGGAGAGGGATCAGTGGGCAGATGGGGTGCAGCCATTTTCACGGCAGGTGAAGGACTCTGTATGACACTTTAAGGATGGACACAGGACATGACGGGTTTCTCAAAACCCATAGAACATGCAGCACGGGAGTGAAACTCAATGTCAGCTGTGGACTCTGGCTAATGGCAGTGCTTTAGCAAACGCACCACGAAGGCAAGATGTTGATAACAGAGGACACCGTGTGTGTGCGCATGCGTCTGCATTTGGGGGGCAGGGGTGGTTTTGTGGGAACTCTGAACTATATCTGCCAATTTTCCTGTGTATGTAAAACTGTTCTAAGAAATACAGCATTAATAGAAAGCGTAGCATCAACCTCCTTCGAGGGAAAAATGATAAATAAATACACCACGTTAAGAGAGCAAAAGGCAAGCCGCAGAGAGGGACAAAGTCTCCCTCACACGTAGTGTCTGAAATATGAAAAGCGATAGACCAATGAAAAGATAACCTGACAGAAGAAGAGGACAGCAGGCAAATGACTGGGCAGACACTTCATACACATGCAGAGGACACCCAGGTGCCCGGTGAACAGGAACAGTGGTTCCCATCCTTCCTCGCCAGGAAAGTGCCCGTCACACCAGCCCAGGATCCTGCACACCCTGCAGGACGGCTCCCGGGTAAGCACTGGATGAGCCAAGGGTGGTCGGGGCGGGGGCCAGGTGCACCTGCCAGCTGGCGGGCAGGCGTGGGGACCAGCCCTTGGAGAGCCATGTGGCCTGTCCACTGAAGCTGGTCCTTGGCTGTCCTTGGCCAGTGGTGTACAGCCAATGGACGTGTCCCTGGTCATGGAAGCAGGCAGAGAATGGACCAGGATAACCCCACAAGGAAAGTCCCGCAGCCCCTAGACGTTCTGTCCCCGAGACGGGAGCGAGGTGAGTGCCTCGTGGCACTGTCACAGGACTGGGGGCCCCACAGCCTGCAGGGGGAACAAGCAGCCACACAGGACGTGGTGGCCCCCTGTCCTGCTCTCCCCACTGCCCTCCCCTCAGTCAGAGGGCGGGGCGGGTGCTTGCCGGCTGGCGGTGTCTCTCTCTGCCCTGGTATCCCTGCCCCAGGCCTGGGTCCACCCCCTCCTGGGCCCCCAGCCCCGCCTGGAGCTCTGCGCCTGCGGCTTCCAGGCACCTGGAGGGAGTGAGGCTCTGGTTCATCCTGCAGCTGAGGGGCCAGGCTCAATGGCAGAGCGGGCGGATGCCCTCTGGGTGGGAGGCGGGAAGTGGTCTGTCCCCAGGTCCTCCCTGTGGTGGGTGGGGGCGCAGCTGAGCTAGCTGCTGAGTCACGGGGCTCCATCCTCACTGCCCTGCCCGCCCCTGGGGCCTGAGTCACACTGTCAGTCCCTCAGGCCCTCAGGAGGAGGGAGAGGTGCAGCCCCTGGGTCCAGCCACAGGCTTGGGCTGCTGGTTTTGCAAGGACCACGTGAGGGAATGAGCTCCAGGTCAGCTGGTGGGGAAGAGGAGGATGTGAGTGGTTGGCGCAGTTAGGTCAAGGGGAGGGGTGCCCAGGTATAGCTGGGGCTGGGGAGGGAGCCTGGGCACAGTGGAGGGTGGGGGAGGGGGCCTGGGCACAGGTGAAGGATGGGGGAGGGGGGCCTGGGCACAGGTGAAGGGTGGGGGAGGGGGCCTGGGCACAGGTGGAGGGTGGGGATGGTGCCTCCGTGGCGCAGGTACTTAGATTTACCCCTGGTCCAGGGCATGGGGTCCTGGGTAGGCTTGACTAATGTGCCCTCCTCCACCTTGACCCCCCAACAGGGTCACTCAAGGCCTCCCGCCCTGGTCGCTGCCCCCACACCTCAGGCCAGCTCCGCACGATGGGGAGAGAGTGCTTCCAGGGCCCTCCGTGGCTGGCAGTCCCCCGTGAGCCCCTCCCCATGAGCCCTTGCTCCTGCCTGGCACCCCCGCTGTGCATGTCCCCCGGTTCTGAGCCTAGTGCGGGACCCAGGTCCGTACCAGCAAGGAGCTGTGGGCAGGGCCTGGCTGCTCGGGTGGGCATCTCTGGGACATCTGGATGGGCCCAGGGGCTACAGAGGAGAGCGGCATTCTTACGACTTTTAAGTTATACCCCCTCCCCTTCCCACTGGTTGCTCGTGCTGAGCTTTGTGGAATCCCAGGTTCTGAGATGGAGATAAGACCCGAGGCTTTACGAACACAGAGTTCTCTGAGGACTTCAGTCTAGGCAATGATGGAAAGGAGACCAGGGTCCCAGTGGCTCACAAGCCCTCTGGATCAGGCATTCTACCCCAGGGGGTGAGCCCTGAGCCACGGCCTTCCTCCATCATGGTTTCTCTGGGGACAGGGGACAGGGAGGCTGGTAGCCACATAGGACGCTTGAGGGACTCCAGGAGCCCAGTTTGGGGACCTGCCTCAAGGGAGTGCAGATCTTGCTCTGCCTGGCACCTGGAGTGACTGCATGTTGACTCACCATCCCCTGCTTTTGGTCAGGGACCCCTCTCCTTATTCGGGAACAAAACTCGCCACACTCCTGGGTGCCAGCTATGGCTCTTCATGCTGGGGATAGACAAGACAGACACAGATCTGCCTTTTTGGGGCCGCTAGACCCAAACCAAGTCTGTAACCAGGACATCAGCTGGTCACAGGCTGTAGCTTGTGCTGAAAGGACAGCTGGGACAGGGTGAGGACAAGCACACCCCCTTCTGAACAGTGAGCAGGATCTGGCCCAGGGACCAGGGGCCAGGGGAAGGTAGTGAGGGCCTTTTGGTCTTGGAGAGCAGCATGTGCAAAGGCCCTGGGGTAGGATGGAGAGCCGTGAGCTCCAGGGGTACAGAGAGGCCCTTGTAGGGGGCAGGGGTGGGGGGCTGCCCAGCCAGGTGATGTGCCCAGTGTGTGTTCGGCCAGACTAGGGGACGTCCAGGAGCAAGAGTCCCACCCCTATTCCTGGAGGCGACAAGCACCCACTGAATGATGGCAACCTGCAGTGATCCTTCCTGCGGGCCCCACGAGGCCAGCTCCTGGGACAGGCTTGAAGCCGTGGGCGCGGTGGGGTCATGGAAAGCAGAGGACCCTGCAGTGGCATGATCACCGCCTCCTGCATGCCACAGTGGCCTGGGGGCCCTCCAGGTGGGAGGGGATGGCCTGATGGGCACGGTGGCCTTAGGAATGGGGCGAAAGGACTGACAGCAGGCACTGGAAGGGGTGGATGCAGGGGGGTGGGAGAGAGGAGGGGTGAAGCCTCCTGTGTCCCCATCTGGCCCTCCTGAAAATAAGGATGCCCCTGGTTCTGGCAGGAGGCGCTGGCGGAGGAGCAGAGTCCCTCCCTTGCGGCTCTGGCTGTCTGGAGCCTGGACTCAGCCTCCTGGGGCCGGAAGCACGGTGTCTCGGGGCTGGTTACCTCTGGAGGCTCGGGGCAGAGTCTGTCCCTTGGCTCTTCCAGCTTCTAGAGGCGCCGTACCCTCGGCTCATGGCCCCTCCTCCACCCTCAAAACCAGCAGCGCCGCCTCTCTTGTGAAGACCCCTGTGCTGCGTTAGACCCACACGGGAAGCAGGACTGTGGCCTGTCCCCGGAGCCTCAGTTTCATCCCGTCTGCAGTCCCCATTGCCCTGCAAGATCACGTTCACAGGTTTGGGTGGGGCGGGTAGGACGTGGATGTCCTTGGGAGGGGCCGTTTATCTGCGCTCCACAGTCTCCTCGTCGAAGTAGGGGAGATTAAGGGGGAGGCCCAGGAGCTCACTGGAGGGCCCAGAGGGTGCGCTGCGCTGGTGGGCTGGACCCGATAGTGCAGGTGTCCCCAGGGCCTTGGACCTGCACCGAGGTGGGGTCACAGCAAGGCTGGGAGGGGCAGAGGCGTGGGCGTTGGCTGGTGGGGGCCTGGCCGAGGAAGACAGGGGAAGCGAGTGGGCAGGTAAGGGGGTGTTGGACTGGTGCCCCAGCGAGGCCGAGTCGAGGCACCGGGGTGAGATGGGTGGGAGGCTCGTGGGGCTGTGGAGCAGGTTGGCGCAGCTGGGGTGGCGGCTGCACTGATCTGCCCGGGTCTGCTGGGCTGGGCCGGCCTGGGTGGCTCTTTTAAGGTGCCGGCTTTGTGAGTGTCAGGAAGAATTGAGCAATGTCAGTGGCTTCCCTTAAGTATTCCTGGGCCCTCCAAGTGTCCCCTGGAACTAAGGAGTGACTGGTGCCCCTGCAGCTGGAGGCCAATGGAGCAGAGGGGCACTGCCCCAAATCTGCATTTGCATCCACCTCCGGATGTGGCCAGCGACCCAGACAGGACAGGCAGCCGCCTGCAGCCGACCTCCCCCGGCAGCCAGACACTGGGTCAGCTGCTCGTGGGGGACGGGGACTTCCCGCCAAGATAGGACACAGGCTGTCTTGCCTCAGTGTGCCCCAATCCACCAGAAGTGTTTTTGGAGCAGAGCAAAGGGGGATCTCACATCGCTGTCCCCCCTGAGGGTAGGGCCACGGCGACCCCAGCGTGACCTCCCAGGGGTGGGTGCACTGGCGGGTGGCAGCCGGATCCCAGCGGTGCTGGGGTGCTGGCTTACCCTCCGGTCCCAGGGCTGGTCCTGCTGCCGGAAGAGACCTTAGCTCTCTTCCCGCAGCCCCCACCCTCCCTCTGCCCATGGCCATGCAGGGCCAATTCCCGGGGACGGGCAGGTGGCGTGCAGTCAGTACCTGCCTGCTCTGGGGACACTAGCGCCTCTGTGGCACCCGGACAAACGGGTCTGGGGCTGCAACACCCACTGCTTTTGGAGCAGTGAGTCAGAGGAGTGGGAGAGTGGGCGGGACAGGTGGCCCCTCTGTCCCACGAACAATGCCCTGATTCTTCCAACACCAGCTCCAGGTGGAGGGGATTGCTGGGCGACTCTGTCACAGCCAGTGCGGGAGCTGAGGGACAGGAGGGATGGGCCGCAGCCCTGCCTGGAGGCGTGTACTGAGGCCTTGACCTTCAATCCTGCAGGGACGGGCAGCCGGGGATTCGCACCCGCATTCTCTGAGTGACCCAGGGTGTCCCTGCATGTCCCCATTTGGGAAGCATGACTCTGCTGGCAGGCTTCTCCCCAGCAGCGAGCCGTTGGCCCTCTGGCAGTTCACTCAGCCTCTGCTTTGGTCTCTCGTCTGTAAAATGGGATCGTGCCGCAGAATCTCTCCTGCGGGGAGAGAGCGCAGGGGTGGGTGTGTTGGGGGGCAGATGGCAGGTGCTCACGGGGTGACCAGCCCTCCCCGTCCCCTCAGGGCTGCTTGGCTGTCCCTGCAGAAAGCTGAGGGGCCTTTGCCTCCTCTGGCCACAGGCTGAAGAGAGGAGCTGCAGAGGGTGGGAGAGGCGTGGGGACTGGGCTCAGGGACTCTGAGAGCAGGGGCTTGGCTTCCAGGAGGAGGCAGCCTCGGGTGGGAGGATTTCTGCTGGTGGAGGTGGAGGCCCCGAAGGAAGGGCGCCTGGGCAGGGACCCCGGCACCACAGGGCAGGTGAACTCTGCACACAGCTCCCGCTGGCTGGGCTAGAACTGAGGGTGCGCAGGCAGAGGGGGCGGCGGACGGGGGGGCGGGAGGAGGGAGATGCTCGCGTTGGCTGTTTGAAAGCAGGCCCCTCTCCCGGCCCCAGCCCATCACGTGCTGGTCTGCCCTGAGTCTCCCTGACGGTGCCCTGATCCCCCTGTGCTTTACAAAGGGGCCTGGAGACGGGCAGAGCTTAACCCACAGGAGGCAGCTCAGGCCCTGGGCAGGGGGCAGGGGCCCGGGGCCCCAGGGCCCCCCGGGGACCACCTGCTCCTCCTCCTCCTCATCAGTTGAGTCCCGGGGGGTCTCCCCGAGGAGCGCCCTCAGTAGGGCCTTGCGCCAGTTAGGAGTGGGCTTGGCGCCCACAGCCCCCAAGTCTTCGAGGTGGCTGCTTGGTGGGGTCCTCGCCCAGTGAGGAGGCCAGCACTGTCCTGCCCCCACCGGAGGGCGCACAGCAGAGAGGGGTGGGCCAGGCCACACTGCGGGCACTGGGGTGCTGTGATGAGCAGAACAGACACCCCCCGCCCCAGGAGCAGATGCACCCGGTGGAGAGGCAGCATAGAGATGATGGAAGGGGACAGTGACACTGGGGACAGTGGAGGGAGATGGACACTGGGCTCTGGCTGGGCGTGTCGCAACTTACACGGGAGATCAGGACG